GGGTTAATGTAGTGTTCTCAAAGGGTTAATGTAGTGTTCTCAAAGGGTTAATGTAGTGGTCTCAAAGGGTTAATGTAGTGGTCTCAAAGGGTTAATGTAGTGTTCTCAAAGGGTTAATGTAGTGTTCTCAGAGGGTTAATGTAGTGTTCTCAAAGGGTTAATGTAGTGTTCTCAAAGGGTTACTGTTGTGTTCTCAAAGGGTTAATGTAGTGTTCTCAAAGGGTTAATGTAGTGTTCTCAAAGGGTTAATGTAGTGTTCTCAAAGGGTTACTGTTGTGTTCTCAAAGTTGTTAATGTAGTGTTCTCAAAGGGTTAATGTAGTGTTCTCAAAGGGTTAATGTAGTGTTCTCAAAGGGTTACTGTTGTGTTCTCAAAGGGTTAATGTAGTGTTCTCAAAGGGTTAATGTAGTGTTCTCAAAGGGTTAATGCAGTGTTCTCAAAGGGTTATTATTGTGTTCTCAAAGGGTTAATGTAGTGTTCTCAGAGGGTTAATGTAGTGTTCTCAAAGGGTTACTGTTGTGGTCTCAAAGGGTTAATGCAGTGTTCTCAAAGGGTTAATGTAGTATTCTCAAAGGGTTAATGTAGTGTTCTCAAAAGGTTAAAGCGTTGTTCTCAAGGGGTTAAGACATTGTGACTAAGTGGTTAATTATTTGTACTCAAAGGGTTAATTAATTGTACTCACTGAGTTAATTGTAATTCATTGCGTTAATTAATTGTACTCAATGGGTTAATTATTAGTACTCAATGGGTTAATTTCTTGTACTAGGATGTGGTTAAGATCCTTTAGTCAATTGGTTAATTATTATCTTTGTACTCATGGGCCTGTCATCGTACTCAAGGGGTTTAATTCATGGTACTCTAAGGGTTCAAACGTTGTACTCAAGTGACTGACATCGTACTGATAAGGTTAATTCGTTGTATTGAAGAGGTTAAGTCATTATACTTATGGGGTTAAGTCATTGTACTCAAATGAATGGCATCGTAATCAAGGGGTAAAACATCGTACTCAAGAGACTCATCATACTCATGGGGTAAAACGTTGTACTCAAGGGGTAAAACATTGTACTCAAGGGACTGTCATCGTACTCATGGGGTAAAACGTTGTACTCAAGGGGTAAAACATGGTACTCAAGAGGGACTGTCATCATAGTAAAGCATTGTACTCAAGGGACTGTCAACGTACTCAAGCGATAAAAGCATTGTACTCAAGGGACTGAGATGGTACTCAAGTAGTTTAAGAGCAGTTCATCAAAGGTTTAAGAGTCCGAAAGATCTCATTTAGGTACCACGTATATGTGAGAGTAGAGACATTTGATATTACGCAGGAGACATACCATCAACACGAGACGCGACAGAGGAAGACTCGATTAGGTTTACACAGTCAGAGGAAGCTTGGTACTTACTGGAAGCATCAGTGAGCCAGAGACCGTAGCGGAAGTACTGCCAGTAGAACCAGTGCCTCGGCTGCTTGATATCCGGGTGGTGTTGGAGAGACAGAGAGAACACGAACACCAGATACAGGAGGTCGGAGATAGCCAGCGCCGTCAGGTAGTTGTTAGTGGAGGACCTCATCTTACGCCTTGTGAGCACTACCATGGAGACGGCATTCCCCACCAGGCCCACACACATCACCAACGGCACCAACACCCTCTGTACCCAGTGTCGAGACTCGTCCATGAACCTCTCGTAGGAGGCGTAGTTCGAGGAGGTGGTGGAAGGTATGGAGGACTTGTCAGGAGGACCTACATGATGCTCGACGCTGATGTAGGAGGTGTTCTGGTCCTCTGGGTAGTATGGGTAGTTGTCAGCGTCTAGGTTGAAGAGCGAGGTGTTGTGGCCGTAAGGTAGAAGAACAGATGTCGAATTGGGGTCTTCTAACAATATGGAGTTGTTGATGACGCCTGAAGGAGCCCACTCAAACATCTCCAGCACCTCCATGTTTCAGTCTTTCAGTTCAGTCTTTTCAAGTTTCCAAGACTAAAGTACGACACAGATCCCGAGTGTTGTCCTGTCTCACGATACTTAGCTGTCACGGTTAGGTTAAGTATTCCCTGTCCAAAGAGTTGATAATAACCTTTGTTTTGTTTTCAACTCTTGTCAATCACTGGAGAAACTCGTCCACTCAGAGACAGACAGACACACACACACATACTCTCACTCTCTTCTATATACCGCCTACGTCATCGATTCAACAAGTGACCACAAAAACTTGAGTGTTCATTTTAAGTTTTTATAAGTTTGGTTAAGGAGAACAGACTCCTACTGGCCTCTAAACACTAATTGTCGAGAGAAAAACACACACACACCCCACACACAAACACCCAAGAACTGTGCGTGTGTGAAGGAGATGTCAGCTTCACTTTGGGTATGTGTGTGTGTGTGAAGGAAGGAGGATAGTCTCTACCAGCGAGGAGAGGTCCGAGGAGAGAGAGGTCTCACTGTGGACGATGAGGGAGGAGGGAAGAGCCAAGGGTCGCCAACCACTCAGTACGAGCTCTCCGCCCCGACTGATACGGCAGAGGGCGGGCTGGCTGGCTGGAGTCTGTGTATTTGACTCTTCCCTCCCTCTCTCCGTCCCTCCCTCTCTCTGTGTGTGGGTAGTGATGGTGATGATGGTTGTGGTGACAGTGATGGCGATGATGCTGGTGGTGGTGGTGGAGGTGGTGTTGGTGAGGATGATGATATTGGTGATGAAGATGGTGGTGGTGATGAAAATGGTGGTGGTGATGGTGATGGGATATTGGTGGTGATGTTAGTGAGGGTGATTTATGGTGTTTGTGGTGATGATTGGGATATCACACACACACACACACACACACGCACACACACACACATCCAATCAAGGCAGGTATACACAGGTAGATTGGAGGACTATCTAAGAAATATTTAACATACAGATGGAAAGAATAAATTAGTTTCACCACAAGATAATTATTCCTGAACTTAACATTTGATTTAATTGTGTGAGAAAAGTTTAAATATTTTGGTTTACTTTTTATTAATATACGAAAAAAAAGTTGTATTTTATTTACTTTTGTTATTGTGAGAAAAGTTTAAATTCTTAGTAAACTTTTGTTATTATACGAAAAGCTTATATATTTTGTTCAACTTTTGTTATTATGGGTTGAGAAAAGTTTTAATATTTTCTTATTAGTGTAAGATAAATTGATGTTATTTATATGAAAAGAAAGAAATAAAGAATGGGAGAGACAGAAAAAGAAAGGCATAGTGAAGGAATGAAAGATAGAGAAAAAGAAAGCAGCGAGAGAAACAGACAGATACAGAGAGAGACAGACAGGCATACACAGACAGCCAGACAGATAGAGACAGATTCACCATTCACATATTCGAGTGAATTTCAGAGAGAATATTAACTCGACATATAACCACAGACAGAAACAGACAGGCAGACAGATAGACAGGCAGACGGGCAGACAAAGAGGTAGCTTATTGGTATACACAGACAGACAGAAAGACAGACAGACAGACAGACAGACAGACAGATAGACAGTTGGTACTACACTGGTATAAAAGGTTTATATAATGCACTGATTTCCTGCGGGGGCCTAAAACTTGAATTAAAACGGTTTATTAAACTGGAAAGTTGATGAGATATTATACATTTGGTTTAACTCTCTTAAAGTCAGTGGTTTAATCCATTGAGGACAATGTTTTAACAGAGTGATGATTTAACCTTTTGACCACAATGGTTTAACCCTTTTGGAAGATGGTTTAACTCTCTCCGGTCAGTAGTTTTGACCTTTTGAGGACGATGGATTAAACCATTTGAGAACAGTGGTTTAACTCTTTAAGGACGATTGGTTTAACTACTGAATAAACATTGCTTATTTAGCATTAAAAAAAAAAAAAACATGAAATTCAACCAGGTTAATTACCAAAATGATTGAAACTCTGACAGGTAGGTAAACCAAATACAAGACCCTATCAGCTCGCTCACCTGTGTATCAAGAACACCTCCAGGAAAACTAATTACCTGTCGGGGATCACCTGACGACTCTCCCCTTAGCTAATTATTACACCTGGTAGATTAGACACAACAATTTATTTCACATGAAGATTTACCACCCTAACGCGACCTGGGGGTGTAGGTTAGGTTAAATTAATTTTGGTTAGGATAATTTAAGTTAAGTTAGGTTAGGTTAGGTTAGGTTAGGTTAGGTTAGCCCAAAATTCTAGCCTACAAGTGCTTACAAGATTCAGTGGTAATAAAGTGCCTTAGTCAGCAAGGATTATCTCACCAAATCAAGTGTTTTTAAAAAGTAAAGTTACCACCTTTCAGGATGTGGTGCTGGGAGGGAGGGAGAGGGGGGGAAATCTTCCCATCTTTGCGAATCCTCTGAGTAGCTTTAACACCGTGTAATGAATCTCAAAGACTTATAAAATAAATATACCTCGTGAGTGAAGATGTAAGAATCCACTTAACCGGTTGATTTAAACTAAAACGCAGAAACGACGTGTGATTTGTGTTGTCTGCCATTAAGTGAACGTGTCTATCTTACTGTGAATTAGGCAGCCATATTGGATTTCTTGTACTGTACGATAACTAATTTTTGTGTCTCTGTTTTCCGTAATTTTTTTTTCGTTATTTACTTATGTTTTATGAAGTTTTAATTTATTATAATGTTTGTAAGTTACTCTGTTAGGTATAAAATGATGGTAGGGTTTGGTTTTTAGAGTTTTAAGTAGAGTTGTTCAAACGTCTGGAAGGGGTGGTGTTGATGGCGCGGGAAATGTTGTCATACAGTATGCAACAAGGGCGGGCGGAGGAATTTTTATTTTTTTTAGTCGGCTCTAAATAACATTAAGGAGTATACGCACTCCTTAGGGACCTCTTAGTATGCAGGGATTCAGGTCTCTAGGTTTGATGGTCTTGGAACTAAGGCAATGACACACATACACACACAGACATAGACAGAGAGAAATGAAGTAATAAAGGTTAATGGAACTACTAATGAAGTGATAAAAATGAAGATGAAAGGAAATGTGTGAAAGAGAGTAAAAAAGAGAGAGAGACAGAAATAGAGAAAACTCTTCTTGACTTTTAAATCATCTTGCCTGTTTTTTTCCATGTCAATTTCTGTTTTTGTTTCTTTTTTTCATATTTTTTCTTAATTATCTCTCTCTCTCTCTCTCTCTCTCTCTCTCTCTCTCTCTCTCTCTCTCTCTCTCTCAGCAGGCAACAGAAGGACCACCAGTGTGTTAATGGGTAAAATTATTGCCAGATAAAGTGAGCCAAGGTTCCCGGAGGCCAGACAATATCACCAGCATACACAATACCTCTTTCCCACCTGACACTTGACTCTCTGTGTCTGGAAATACTGTAATACACACCTCTCTCTGTCGCGTGGTTGTTGTTTTTATTTACTAATACTACTACTACTACTACTACTACTACTACTATCAACAACACTGTGACTGCTACGTAACCTCTCTATCACCTAACCAAACACAGTTCCCCACATTAGCGAGATGATCACAGATATGCATTACGTCGCTCCCATCATTACTTCACTCTTAAGCAAATTACCGAATTGCTCAACTGCTCATGTTAATTAATTATGATTAAATATGCTAATTTAATCATAGAGTATTCCCTGTGTCTTCCCACGGCGGCGATATTGGTGTGGTATTTATAGTGTGTGATGAGCTGGTTAGTTGGGTGAGGAGACAGTCGTTCGTGAGCAGAAACGTTCAAGATCCGGATTAGTTATTATATTATTCGAAAACCTTTTATCTGGTATTTGTTTACGTTCGTGAGACTAAATATACTTAAAATCCGGATATTTTGTCTCTTCATAAAACTAATACATGTTTATGGAAAATATGAACCCGAGTATTAGTTTACAAATGAGTTAAGCGACATTTTATCCTTGCAAAAATATGAAAACATTTATGTCAAGACAATATAGTGTAGCCTTGTGCCAGACAGGTTATAAAATACATATTCATTATACAGAGTTTAAGTGAGTTTTATCACACATAGTTTTAATTGTTGATGGACCAGTGTAGTTATTAAAGTAGTTACGGGTTTAAAGACTATAGTTATTACCGCCGACTGTGAGTACCATCATACCAACTTAGATCAAGATTATGTCATGGGGTCGTGTCGGGTCGGGGAATGCGCTGATTCTGGCTTGTGGCTGGGTGGATTAAGGGAGAGAGAGAGAGAGAGAGAGAGAGAGAGAGAGAGAGAGTAGATAAAAACTCTCTCTCTCTCTCTCACCTCACTACAGCCATTTCTCACGACACTGCCGATATCTCTCCCTCACACTCGCGTCTCATTCTACATGTTATCGGCAGTCTTAAGGAGTTATATCGGATTTCTACCCCCCCGTCTCGACTTGTCTCGTTTCGTCTCGTTTCGTTTCTTCTCGTTTGGTCTTGTCTCTTGTTTTGTCTCGTTCCGTCTCGTTCTATTTCGTCCCCTCTCGTCCAGTCTCGCCCCGACTCGTCCCGTCTAGGAAGCCAGACTTTCACCTCCCTGACAGAGATTGACGGCAACGGCATTTTTTATTACATTTGTCTCGTGTGTGTGTGTGTGGGTGGGTGTTTGCGTGTGTGTGCGTGCGCTCACCACCAGAGACACACCACGTAACACTCCCAATCGTAAACAACACCTCCCAATCGTAAACAAACCCTCCCCAATCGTAAACAAACCCTCCCAATCGTAAACAAACCCTCCCAATCGTAAACAAACCCTCCCTAATCGTAAACAAACCCTCCCCAATCGTAAACAACACCTCCCAATCGTAAACAACACCTCCCTAATCGTAAACAAACCCTCCCAATCGTAAACAAACCCTCCAAACGTAAACAAACCTCTGGCGTAAACAAACCCCAATCAAACAAACCTTCCAATCAATAAACAAACCCTCCCAATCGTAAACAAACCCTCCCAATCGTAAACAACACCTCCCAATCGTAAACAAACCCTCCCAATCGTAAACAAACCCTCCCAATCATAAACAGACCTTCCCAATCGTAAAACAACACCCCCAATCGTAAACAACACCCCCAATCGTAAACAAACCCTCCCAATCGTAAACAACACCCCCAATCGTAAACAAACCCTCCCAATCGTAAACAAACCCTCCCAGTCGTAAACAAACCCTCCCCTAATCGTAAACAACACCCCAATCGTAAACAACACCCCAATCGTAAACAAACCTCCCAATCGTAAACAAACCCTCCCAGTCGTAAACAAACCCTCCCCAATCGTAAGCCCCCCAATCGTAAACAAACCTCCCTAATCGTAAACAACACCCCCCCAATCGTAAACAAACCCTCCCAATCGTAAACAAACCCTCCCAATCGTAAACAAACCTCCCAATCGTAAACAAACCTCCCCAATCGTAAACAAACAAACCCTCCCAATCGTAAACAACACCTCCTCAATCGTAAAACAAACCTCCCCAATCGTAAACAACACCTCCCTAATCGTAAACAAACCCTCCCCAATCGTAAACAACACCTCCCAAT